AATATTCGCCGAGACGAAGTCGAGATGAATATTCCCCAATAATCACCGAGCCTGAGGCGAATAATTGTTAAATATTATACCTCACATTCAAATTGTCCAATGAAAAAACATCATTCGTATCACGTGACAATGTGATTTTTTACGGTATTTCACTCAAATTAATGATTTCGCAATCAAGCTTTTGTGTTTTTTGAGACTGAATTTATTTTAATTTCGCTTATTTCTTTGTCAGTAAACTTCCACAAAACGGGTAGCCGCCATTTTGAAAATTTCTGTTTTGTTATATTCACCTGTAGGTGAATATATAACAGCTTATTACGTCAAATTTGACCAATCAACGTGTAGGATTTGTTATGTTCACTTAAATGCCATATGCAATTAGTATGCAAGTTATGTAATTATGCTAAATATTTCCTTGTCCCCTAGCCAACGTAGGCGTAAGCCCGGGGCGAGTATACTAATTCCGCACGGCTATTTGCACCCGGTTGTTTTTGCTTTATAGACGGCAAAAGACGCCGAGCCCGTTGCTTAACAGGATTGAACAATGTTTTGCTGCCCACGTTGTTCACACTTGTCAACAATATTGAACAATATTGTTGAGCCTGAATCAGGTGTAACAATATTGTTCAAAATTGTTGACAGCTATGAACAATGTGGGCAGCAAAACATTGTTCAATCCTGTTTTTATCAGTATTGCACCAACCTGAGTGTTTTTACGCGTGTAGACAAGATCAGGGGCAGAATAAAGTGATCGTGTTACCATGACAACCACTTCAAATACTTCATGTTTGGGAAATATAGTGGATTTCTGCACGCATGTATTTCTAGTACAATTACTTGCACTAACAGTTGGTTCAGAAGAGGAAAGAACAAGCTTTCAAACGAGGTTAACATAATTTTGAAGACTAGGACTCAAAATTATTAGCAATTAAAAATAGACTTCGCTGTTTTATCTACCCTGCAAAAAGTAGTACAGGATAGAACAAAAACTGGAGGGAAAACATACAATTGAAAATGGTTCCCAAGTTGGTTTCCAAATAGGCATGCAGGCATTAGGTAATAGGATGATATTCCATCGAGACTGAGATTATAGGAACTATTGCAGTCACACTTGCTTGCAACTATGATTACGAAATGCAAAGTAGCACAACTCTAAGATAAACCACGATATTAACCTGCCGAATGCCAGGTAATTTTAATTTCAATGGGAAAGTAGGAAAATTTCTGCATTTGGCATGTTAGTCTTAAGCTAAGAATTACAAGTCCAACAAGTCTGGATGTCAACTGATCTCACCTGGAATACTCAAGTAGTAGAAACGCACGGTTGATTCAAAACACCAGCGTGAGGAGGGCATTGTATTTAACATTAGGCGTAAAAAAAAATACCTGTGGTTCGGTTTCATATCATGAAAAAATTAGGGTCGGTAGGTCGGAAATAAATATTTTTTTTCATGGTTTTGCCGGTTTTTTGCTGGGCGATTTGCAGTAGAGTACCGACATCAATATTAACTAGAGGTGCATGTTTCCTATGGACGAATTTAGGCAATTTGGTTCAATAATTATTGTGACAACAGACGCCATTTTGGCACGCTGTATGAGCAGACCGCAACCACCTGGAGAAAATAGGGTCGCACGGTCAATCGCGTTGAAAAAATAATAGGGTCGGCAGAAAAAAATAGGGTCGGTCGGGAACCGGAATCACAGGTATTTACGTCTTAGTATACGCCCTCACTTAATAGGATATGACACCCAGATCTGGTCGCCACAAGTCCATCAACCTAATTGCAAGATTGGAAAAAGACGTGCTGACAACGAAATGTATTCTCAATTTGCCGTTTTCCAGTCCAGACAGTTATACCTCGCGATTACAGTCTTTATCATATTACTTCCAATATGTTACTGGCATGAGTTTTTGGATTTGATTTTTTTCTTTAAAATGGTGAACAATCGACTGGTAATCATAGAACCTTCTGTAGTACCAAAAACCCGCAGCGCCAGACCGACCGGATCGTCTAAAAACACGGACATAGCAAATAGTTTGTCATTCCCAGGAACAAAACAATGACGAATCAACGCTCGTTTCTAATTCGAACAACCAGGGTATGGAACAGCCTAGCTGAATACATGATAAATTTGAACTCATTTAAATCAAGTCAACCACTCTAGGTTATAGGCTTGGGCGGTTTTGCTTAAAATCAAAACCGAAAAACCGTCTGATTCTAAACCGGTAAAACCGGAAAACCTTTTTTTTTCGTTTAATTTTTACTTCAACTGAATGAGGAAGGATTGTGGTATTTCTTTGACATAAGCAAACGAACAGTACATGACAAAACGCAAAATTGTGCAAAGGTAACCTAAAACGACTTCAGTTTTAAAATAAAAGGGTCAAGAACGCATTTGAAAACTTATACCTCTTTAGTTCTTACCGACTTTACGGAAAATAATAGAATTTGTATCTAGTGTCATGTAATTGAGTTTGATTAGTGTCATGTTTTGAAATTAAGATCGAGTTTCAGGCAATGACAGTAAACAATTATGTAATGACGGTTTTCCGGTTTTTGTAAAAGCTACAGTAAACCGAAAAAACAGGTTTGAAAATAAACCCGAAAAAAACCGAAAAACCGGTAAACCGCCCAAGCCTACTAGGTTATTACTTCCGTGCTTTAGAAATTTCTTACGATCCTAAAAATCCAAGAACATACAAAATTATATGTACCAAGTGTAATAGCGTTCGAACTCTGGTTCAGCCTCTTAGACTAACATGCCAAATGCAGAAATTTTCCTACTTTCCAGTAGTGCTGTAGTTTTCTTTAGGAGAGGAGAGAATCCTTTCTTGTCCGACAGTGGTGTGAGGCTGCTGTGGGTCGGCCTGTTGCATGAAGGCCAGATAGCACTACCCACCAGATAGTGATTTATTCAACCTTTTTAAAAGAGCTTGAAAAGCTAAGAAACTATGTCGACCTCACAATTAAATTAAAGGAACTTAAATTTATACATACTACAATATTAAAAGTTTAATCTGGTTTAAACTATTTTGTAAAATTTTATAAAATCAGTATCCGGTAGATAGTGTTATCCAACCTTTGTAGTACATGCAACCAATGCAAATGATGATGCACCAGTCGTTTGAAACCCCCGACCTCCCCACCTCAGGGACACCGGGGGAATTCACTCTCTTTGTGTGTGAACATTGATTAATTCCCCGGGCACCGGGGGAAAAAGTAGGTGAACCTCCCCAGCCTTTTCCCCTTGATATTCAATATAATTACTAAATAGGTAGCTTTTAAAATCATTATGAAAGAGCCTTTAATGAGACAGTTGTGCAATTAAAAAAAAACCTGACAAGTTAAAACCCTGATAGTGTAACATGTCAAATTGTGGCTAAAACATTCTTCTCATCATTCTCATAATTTTATTATTTTATATTAATTGTTTTTTCTCACAGCATCTGTACATAATGCAAAATTTCATTTTTGGAAAATTGTAATTAATAAAATTACCTGTAGCAATATGCTGAAGACTTAAAAAGTATTTTTGGGAATGTGTGAATCCCCCACACATTGGCCCCGATCTGATGGCCAGTGCAGTGAAAGCTTGCGCATCCCCCAGTGAAGGACAAAATGACCGGGAAAACAAGGCGAATATCCTTGTTATGTTCCAGGTGTCGCCTAGGTGGGAGGAGGGGAGGGGGGTTCAAATGACTGGTGCATAACTGTGGGTTGGCATCCCACATATTATCACAAACTCTTTTTTATTATGACCCTGATCATGTTGGACCAAGAATATCTGTAATGTCCCCAGTCTTTTCTCACACATTGCATGCTTGACTCTGTCAATGGCACATTGCATTTTTAATCCGTCCACCAGGGGGGGGACCTTTGAAATTCAACATTTTAGATCCTCCCCTGGAATGTCCAAAACCAGGTTTTTCATGGGGGTCCCTTGGAATTTCCAAGCAATTATTGAAAACTGCACCCTGGAAATGCATTATTTTTACCCCCTCCCTTCGAATTTCCAACCATTTACCCCCTTACCTGGAATTTCCAAGTGAAAAAAACTTGTCCCCCCTCCTGGAATTTCCAAGGCCCTCACACACCCCCCCCCCCGTGTACGGATTAAAAATGTAATGTGCCAATCTAAAATCCTAGTTTATATGGGTCCGATGTTGCATGTCATTGTTTTATTTTCTAGATGGCACCATAATCAATGAAATGCCGCCCACCTTAATTTTCTACACCACTACAGGACTGTGAGAATGCCAACGCTAATATTCGCAAACTTAAAATGTGATTTATCATGGGCTGGGTAGCCTGGGTCAGAAATATATCCGCAAAATATTGTCATACTTAGCTTGGTGAGTTGTATGTTCGATTTACACAGCACAACTCAAGCTGTAAGCAGGTTGCATGCGACAGTTTTCGACAAAAGTTGTGTAATATATGTAAATCGGCCTTTACATACAATAACAAGAATATCCACATACCTCCGTTTTCTACATTTATTGCAGATTGCACCGAGTCAACACTAGACTTGCTCCAAGTCTCTCTTTGTGGAGACCCACTATATTGTCCGTTACATGACGTACCGCTGAGGGGGAGAGGAGGAAAGAAAGAGAGACTTGTAACATCTGGCAGCAGACATACTTCCGGCTGGTCAATTTCGACCAGCCGGAAGTACATGGCCGCATTGACTTATCATGTGTTTAGGGGGGAAGGCGACATCTGGACTTATTTGTTTAACATAAGTAATTTTGTATTCACGAGATTTCTTGTAGATTTCACATCACTTTTGACTGCGTGCATTTGGCATTTTGGGCATTATTTTGCAATTTATTGTAAACAACGATTATAAGAAGAACGGATAAATTACAAATCAGCCGTAATCGTCATAAACCTCGATGACCACCAGTGTTTTTGTGTGTGACAATTTGTATTTCATTAGATATTTATATGCAAGGTATAAACGGGTTATCATATAAAATGATCATTCTAATGAATGAATTGATAAAACGAATTATTTCTAACATGTACGGCCGCGTTTTTTACACGGCCACTACTGAAACGTTTAGCTTGATTGTTAAATAAATCGATGACTTGCTTTCTGTTTTGAGCTTAACCACCGTTTAAGTTAAACGGGCTTGATACAACTGGCCCCAGACTCGGCCCCAGATAAACATTTTTGTATTATCGAGATCGAAACTATAGTAAATTGGAAACCGTGTCAATAATAAAAAACGTACAATGAACTTACGAACATGCGAAAATTGTCACGCCCACAATTACAAATTTGTAAACAAAATAAACATTTAGAAATTTCGCGGCAAAAATTGAGCTGAAATATACACAAGAATTGCTTTATAAATGTTCATCAGTTATGGCCGATGATACGCCAACAAAAAGTGTGCCTTTTCTTTCACCATCATCCGATGTTATTTGTATCATCTGTTATGAAGATCTGCAAAAGAAATACGGTAACAATGCCGGAAAAGGAGGGTATAAAATAAATCTTTGGAGACAACGTAATAAAACTGAGGCTTGTAAGACTGTAGAACAATTCTTGCAACGTAGTTTAGATTATTCAAAGAACTTGAAATGTATTTGTCGGTCATGTTTAAATCAGTTAAAAAAAGGACAAAAAATCTTGTCAGAGGGTCAGTTGCAACTTAAAGGCAACCAAGAAAAGGCTGAAGAGACCTTTTTGCGAGTAAGGGTAAAACGAGAATTATCCTCATCGACGGAAGCGACGTCAAAGGCGAGACGATCGTTGAATCAAGATCTTTATACAAGATCAGAGAAATTAGAGTGCACTAAAGCAACGGATAAAAAGGTAAACTGAATTTTTTTTAAAATATATTAACATATGGCTATTGTTGAAATCCTTTCAGACATTTAGGCTGTTTCTACGTGCGTACGTATAAAAAACTCTTAACTGCTCCATTTATTTATATTGTTATACTGTTTAGTATGAAAGATGCATAATATTGTGTCAATGTGTACTTGCCCCTATCATCCTCTGAAGCCAACTGCCTAAGAAATTTATACAACTAAATTAATAAACCATAAATTTTATACCTTCTTTTTTTCAAATACAAATTCTATGGCATGCACAAGGGTTACTAAGGGTTCAGGATTAGCTGTCGCCAGTGAAAATTTGACCCCACCCCTTCTTTTCATGTATAAAATTATAACTATCCTGCCCTCCTTCCAAGAATATTTTCAGAGGGCCATAACTGAGAAACCTGGCTACACCACTGGTTAATTTAATTTATATTGAATAGAGTACCACTGTATTACTTATAAATTTAGTTAACTGGACAATTATACAATTTGTAGGGTATATTAAATGTATCTGATGGTGAAGGAAACATAATAGATTTGAACTTAAAATACATAAAAATTGCTGAAGCTGTTGCACTGGATAAAACTGATCAGGAAATATGTTGTGCCATTTGGGAGGTGAAAGACCTGAGAGAAAAACTGTTAGAGTTGATTGAACGTAAAGTAAAGGAGGAGGTTGGGAAAATATGTGGGCGTAACTTTTCAAGTTGTTTTCGTGCTTCTATGGCATCAGATTTAAAGTCGTTCTCGTATGAAGAGCTGGAGAAAGAATTTGTAGAACAATGTCCGATTTTGAACCGAGTAATAACTGCAGCCGCAGTCAACGAGAGAAATTTGAAAAGAAATAAAATTAAATGTACAGATCAAGTTAGAAACGCAAAATTAACTGGAATTGGCATTATTTTAAATGCACGAAATCGAGAAATGAACATGCATCAGATGATGACTAGCATCATATTGAAACGGGGAGGAGCAAACAAGAAGACTTTCCGTCGTCTTGCAGCGCGAGGATTGTGCATATCATATCAATCAACACTAAGAATACAAACTAGAATGGCACAGAATCATGACATTCAAATTTTAAGACGAAAGAGAAAAGTTGAAGCAAACGTCATTTCAAATAATGAAAACACGGATATGCACAACACGGAGAGATCCAATGAGCCCTCTAATACTAACGCGGAAACTAACGCTACGCTAACAAAAAACTATACCACGCCAGGTATTTCACCTCCCATATTAAACACAGTATTACGCTCGTCTCTTAACCGACCTGAAAACTCCAACATACCAGCAGATTGTTTGGCATCTGTGAACCACAACACAGAATCAGGTTGCCATTTAGTTGAAACCGCTTGTCTTTCAAATAATTCAAGTTCAGAATCACTCGTGACTCATATACCTACGAATTCAGACAACACTGCAAACTCTTTTGCAGAGCAATGTGACTATATTTCATCAACCAAATCAACTGTTGAAGCTCACCCACCGGAACATTCTAACTGTATGAGCGAAGAGGCTAGAGATCAGCATGAAAGCAGAAGCATGGAAAGCGAGTCAAAGGACATGGAAAGCGACATGGAAAGCGAGTCAAAGGACTCTCTTTTTGATGTTATTGAACATGGTGAACTGTTTGATGAGAACGGATTGGGGATTAGATTTATTGGTGATAATGTGAACGTTCAGACTAAACCGCGTCATATGGGTAAAGGTCGACATGTCAAACAGTTCAATCTTTTCAATTTCATTGCAGTCGAGAACAGAGTTCCGTTCGACATAAGTGAGTGTTCTCAGCAGATCCCATCAGAGCTTGCCAGTAAGAAGTTGTGCAGTTTCATTCCAGATTTGAATGACAATCGAGCACTTCGAGAAGATTTCAAATATATCGTCGGAAACACGTTAATAAAATATGTTCCAGCCTTTCAGTGGTTGTCAGATTGCATACCATCCAATCTTGAACATCCATACATTAAATATACTTCATTAAAGTCAAAAAAGGTTTGTATACCTTAGAAGACATTAATTTGATAGAGTACTTGTAAATTAAAAAAAAACAAAAACTAAATGATAATTTCTAGGAAAATTAATTATTACATGACTATTACAGTTGAGCGGTCCATTCACTAAAATCAAGCACTCTGATTGGTTCCTGAGCGGTCGGTAACCAAGAGTACGGACCGGCCAGGTTTGGCGGGACAACAGTTTGAGTTTCTCTTAATCGTTTTTAGTCATATAATAAATAATTTATTGACTGAGCTTGTTCGGTCCACAAGGGAGGATACTGGTCTCGTTCTTTTTTTGCTTGTATGGACCTCGCCTAAAGGCTCGGTGCATACAAGCGAAACTCGACCAGTATCCTCCTGTACGGACCTCTCGCTCAGTCAATAACATATATATATACTACCATGTAAGCTAGACTTGCTTTTCGAGTGTCTGTTTGTAATATTGGGCTGTTGCTCTAGGTACCTCTCGGCGTGCTCAGTAAAGATGAGAACATAAGCTCAGAGATGATAGAAATATTGCAGACAATTCACAACAAATATATTCCTCAAAAAGGCAACGAAATATTGGAAGAGTCAATATTCGGCGGAGATTTGTTGACGTGTGAACGATGCATGAATGCGCAAGAAGACATGAGAGATGCACCTACTTCAGCAAAGAGGCTGACTGGTTTAAAACCAGTCATTGAAGATTTCCATACATTTGGAAATTTTTTACAGGTGAGTATTTCAGTATTACCTGCAAAAACGACGTACTCAATTTTATACAAGATGTAAATGTGCCAGATCGCGATCTTAATTCAGGTATTAAGGTTGTTATTTTTGGAGTATATATTATGAGACCCTAAACAAAACGGTTTAGATAATGTGAATATTGTAGTTTTTAAAAGCTAGGACTAACGAAATGAAACATTAATTACAGCTCGGTAATGACATGAAATGTGTTATTACAGTAAATTATCTGATAAATTGAAATCCACTATGAACCAAAAAATGAGAAGTAGGCCTAAATATACTGTTTGCTGAACACAGTTAATAGAATACGGTAGATGGTTTGGAAACTCATTAGAATAACAATATAACTCATTATCTATGTTAAGTCAACCTTTATTCATAAATCTGGTCCTTCACCGTCACGTGTGTATTGTATTTTTGCATGCAACTAACCAATAGCAATGTATTAAGAAAGTTACCTATCCGTGCCTCGAACAATAGGGTAAATTGGAAATTGCTATTGGTGGATTTGGTAAGAGTACAATACACACGTGACGACGAAGGACCCGATTTATGAATAAAGGTGGACTTAACATAGATAATGAGTTATACTATTATTCTAATGAGTTTCCAAACCATCTATTCTACTATGGCCTGAACTGACCAATGTGATACTGACCACTGTATTTGTGCAGGTCATATGGAGTGTTCTATACTCGAAGACCTCATCAGCCGACAAAGGGACTCTATATGCATGTAGGAACTTCCTGAATGCCAGTAATGTACCTACGGATCCTATGAATGATGTTAATGCAGCAACACATTTTCTATGGAAATTTACTGATGCAATGATTTTGAGTGCGTGTATGGAAACGTTTCAGATGGAAAGCATTTCTGATGAACCAAAACTAGAAGATAGTTTTTGCCTATTACCGGATCCTGACAAAGCAGATTTGTTACTTAATTTGGTCGTGACCAATTGTGCTCTGCAAGACGATATCAGTTTTGATATGAGCGAAGATGATATGTTTAATTGTCAGGTATAAAATATTAATTACATGCTAGAATGTACAAAATTTATGACATAGACTGACTATTGAGACGCGAACGAATAATAATAGACTCTTCTCGTGTCAAGTTAGTACCGAAAGCCAATTGCCAAATGACGTTACAGTACGTATAGTTTAATATTACGATACGTATGACAAATGGGTTTTTTAGCCAACTTGAAAAGTGTGTTCAAAAGGGCTGTAAGTTTCTGGTAGTTACTACATTTAAATTACTTTTTAAATTATTCTTCCAAGGTATGTGGAAAGAAATATAAGAAACTAAGTTCTTTGAGAAAACATCTCCTCTCGCACAGAGTAGAGGCGGCAAGAAGCAACGACGATGTGGAAGATCTGGCCATGGATAATGTAAGAAATTACTCCACGAACGCACTAACTCTTTGCATGATTGCCAAAGATTACGAAGACGCTAGGAAGCTTGGTGATGGACAGCGGATCGTTCGATTGTTTAAATTCATGCTGCTATTTTTCAAAAACAATGGCCAAGGTATGTGGAAAGAAATATAAGAAACTAAGTTCTTTGAGAAAACATCTCTCTACTGACATGAGAAGCAACGAGATGTGGAAGATCTGGCCATGGATAATGTAAGAAATTACACGAACGCACTAACTCTTTGCATGATTGCCAAAGATTACGAAGACGCTAGGAAGCTTGGTGATGGAAAATAAATGCTGCCAAGGTATGTGGAAAGAAATATAAGAAACTAAGTTCTTTGAGAAAACATCTCCTCTCGCACAGAGTAGAGGCGGCAAGAAGCAACGACGATGTGGAAGATCTGGCCATGGATAATGTAAGAAATTACTCCACGAACGCACTAACTCTTTGCATGATTGCCAAAGATTACGAAGACGCTAGGAAGCTTGGTGATGGACAGCGGATCGTTCGATTGTTTAAATTCATGCTGCTATTTTTCAAAAACAATGGCAAGCATAAGTATGCATATCATGTTTTACACCATCTAGCTCAAATAAAGTTCTTACTACCACCGAAGTTAGCGCATGATGTCATCTGGAATCGATTCGTCAATAACCGTGGTAATGTGGATTCTAATGTCGAAATGGATAGAACGGTCGAGCACGAGAATCGCGCTTTTAAGCTAGATTGCAAGGGATTTATGGGCAAGGTTTCTGATAAGTCCGTAACTAGAAGTAGCTGTTCCTACCAACATATAGAAGAAGTAATGTCAAATTATGATAAAAGTTCCTTTGTCAAGAATGTGTCAGGTAAACATTGCACGCCGAATACTCATGAAGAAGTCATTGAACTTGCCCTTGATTTTCATGACATCCGCATCTTTGGTGACATTCCAGGCCGATGCCACAAGGCATTTCCATCATTTCCCAAGACAATTCTCCAGACAATAGATCCACTAAAATTAAAGCAGTGGATGATTGAGAAAATAAATGAATTCAAAGATTTAAGTATTTATCAAAAAAATTGCTTGTGACGTTCATATACAAAAATGTATGTTACGTACAAAGCCAAAGGGCTTGCAGACGTACGGTATAAATTAGTCTACGACAAGTGTTTTATACAATTTAATGGGTATAATTCAACATGGATATTTTTTTCTCCAGAACTGCAAAATTCAAGAAAAACTGCATCGTTTAGTAGTCTTTATAGATCACAATGTAGTTATACAAATAAAGTGAAGTCAGTGAACATATAATAGGAAGTTTTTTAATAGGATATTCTTTATATTGTCATTGACTATAACAACCTAAAGAGTGAATATCATGCCAGTGATCTTTTGCATGCTTGGTTTACATTTTAAGGGAGAATTTCACTTGTTTGCATATTCAAATTTTATCCAACAAATTAAAAGGGGAAATCGCCTTCAGGTACACAAATGATTTTACCCGTCAATGCATAAGGAAACTTAAATTTGTTTTACAACATTGACTGGGTGATTACTCAGAACGCAGCTATTTTGTGGGTCACTAGCATGATACTCACTCTTTAGCACGTTCAAACAAATAATTTAAGAAGTTTTCAAAATTGTTATTTTGACGTCTTTATCCTAACTTCTAAGCACTTACTTGAATGTATGATCTATGATGCAAATGTAAAATTATATAGTTATTCACTATCACTTTCTGAATCTGATGGAATACTATAATCGATATTATCTACATCAAGGTCGCTGTCATCGCTTGCACTTGAACTATCATTATTACCATCATTGCTCAAACATTCATGATTTTCAGTGTCACTTTGGTCTGCATCAAACTTAGATGGATGCACAGTTTCTATTGCACAATACTCGATTAAGTTACGAAGCTCTTGAACTTTTTCATAAATACTCTGGCAAATATTCCAATCAAACACTGAGGTATACTCCCAAACTGCATCAATGCTAGTAATAGAAGCAAAATTTAATATTACATCTTCAATTACTTTCTTAGGAAACCCAAATGAAATATCTTCATCTGTAGCATCCAAATTCTTTGCCAAAAAATCGTCTTTCATTATTGTTATTTCTTGCCTTACAAGATCTTCGGATTCTACAGACAGTTTTGTGGCTGTTATGGCATTCTTTGAGTCAATACCTATGTTTTCAAAATAAATCTCTGCTTTACTTTTTTCTAAGTTTGCTGGACTCTCATCTTTGTCATGACAAATTTCATTTCCACAAATGTCACAACAATCCATCCTTGATATTTGGTGATTGTCAACGGTACCACCATAATTTCTCAACAACAAACTGCGTCGACAGACTGTTTGGTTCTTACAATACTGTTTCATCTCCAAGCTTATCAGTTTACTTGACAGACAGCCTGGATACAATAAAAGAAGTGCATGGCATACATTTGTGATCCCACGCCCAGCACGACCACTTTCCTGAAAATAATCATCAATGTCATTTGATGGCCCATAATGTATCACAGTTGTTAAACCCTTACAATCAACCCCCATTCCAAATGCAATGGTAGCAAAAATGACACGAACTATGCCATCATTGCAGGAAAATGATTTCATAACAAAATCTTTGACTTGTTGATCTGTGTTACTATGGAACATTGCAATGAGTCTAGTTTGAAAGTTCCTTTTCCCATCTTCTGTATTAATGTGAGCTTTCTCCTTTAATGCATTTAACAATGTAGAATAACATTTGTTAACAGTTTTGTGGTTTCTGCAAAACACAATGTACTTTGTTGATTTCTGTCCATGCTCTTTTAGTTCATTTATCAACCATTTAAAATTTTCTTTCACATTTTTACATTTAACTTTCATTACTGCATATCTAATATTGTTTCTGTCTGGACATCTTCCAATATACTCATAATTAATCATTGACAAGGATTTTGTTATTACACCTTCAACTTGCTTTGATGCTGTAGCAGTGAGGGCCACAAATGGAACTGGACTAAGTAAAGAACGCATCTCGGATAATTTACCATAACATTCTCGGAATGCATAGCTTGACTTTGTATTTATACCCCTGTTAATAAAAAACAAATAACACTGTTTTTTACAAATATCTTATATTTAAAAAAATAAAAAGAATTTCTACAAATATATTAAATATGGGTATTAAAATGTATGGCCACTCGAAAAAAAAGTAGGTCCTGCTTTGGGCAATATATAACTTGGGTTCCTCATGATTTCCATTGTTTGGTGCTAATTAGGTGATAGGGAGCTTTATCCCCATAGAAATTGTACTGTACATCATAATCTGGCAAAATTGTGTTCATATGGGAAAAACATTATCCTGGTCACCGAGATCTCGTCTGTCAACAAGCAAGATCTCGGTACATGGGAAAACTTTTAGTCTCATATGAACGCAGTGTCACTTTCATATTGTTTTCATAATCAGGGGCGGCGCTACAGGGGGTGTGTGGGGGGGTGGAACACCCCCCACTCGTCAGCTAATCGGCAAATTGTTATCTCAGTCGGCAAAACTGGATTGGCTAAAGATAACCACTGAAGAAACCAAAATTGACCTCCTGAATAATTGAATTCAAACCGAATATCACGAATAGCATGCATCAAAGAAACCACACATGCAGCAATGCAAATTTTTTACGGTGTAAGGTTTAAAAACTGACGGGTATTGTGTATTGTGTATATACGTTAGATGTTTGAAGATCAAATTTCGCGCGTCTGGAGTTAAAATTTGGCTCCAACTTTCGAATTTTCCGGCTGGAGGTAACGTTCCAGTTATATTCCGATTTCAATGATTCGTAAATTAAATGCGTGATTAATAGTGCTCCAAGACGTGGAACAGATTTTAAGAAATGCTGAGATTTTGACTTTTCGAGGGCTGCAAAATGGATGCCGACAGGAATTTGGGGTTTTCTGATTATGCGTGTCTCAGAATGATGCAAATGCCATTTCCGGGATTCAAATTTAAAAAATTTCCGTGCCTTCGGCACGAGCCTCCCCCCCAATATTTCATAAAATGTCCGCCACTTGCACACACGGTGGCTTAAAAGGTCTTAAAACTGTTTATTCTACCGATAAATAAAGGGTTTTTTATTGACTGGGATTTCAATAACTCGGACTGGGATTTCTAATAAAAATCCAACTGGGACTGGGATTTTGCCAAAATTTCAGGTGGAAAATGGGATTGGGACCCCCCCCCCCCCTTCAGGACCCTCACTATAGGCTAATGACTCGGCAAAATTACCAAACAACAGTCGGCAAAAGATCACTCACACCCCCCACTGGAAGAGGGTTAGCACCGCCCCTGTTCATAATAAGAAGAGATCTCCCTTGCAAGTTTGCCAAAAAGTTTCCTTGCTAACCAGAATAACTTTTCCCCATATGAACAGGCCCTTATATTGCCCCTTCATGTGGATGGCACTGAACAATCTGCCATTAATCATAAATTATGTATAGCCAAATGGAATTGTTGTTCTAATTTCATCTAATGCTAGACAATTTAAAATGCCAAAGGAGCTAATTATTGCTTTAATAGTTATTTAATATTAAAGGTTCATGTAATTGTTTTTTATCAATTGTTTATATTTTTACTCAACACCAGCATTACAATACCAATAAATATGAAACTTTTTGCATGCTGTCTAATTGACAGTTTTGGTAAAACATAATTTTTGCACTAACCATTTAGCCACGCAGTGACTCTCGTCAATGAATACTCCAACAACATTATCTTTATACATCTTTGACTTTAACATCTGCCTCGATTCGGTCGAAAGAAACGCCTCTGGACTGCCAAATATATAAGTAAACTCGCCGTTCAATAGTTGTTGTTTGGTTAGAGCATCCTTCGCTTCAGCCAAATTGATGGCGGTGATACCGAAATGCTCAAGTTTGGCTATCTGATCTTTCATCAAAGAGATCAGAGGAGAAACAATAAGGACGATGTTATTCGTTTTTATACCTTTAGGATCTCTTTCGATTTTACGAGCTTGACAAAAATCCAAAGCAAACGGGAACAACTGGTAAATTAAACTTTTACCTGAACCAGTTGGTTGAGTACAAAAAATATCTCGCAATCCACAATTAAGAAGACTTGAAAGACACTGCCTTTGGTAATCTTTTAGTTCAAACTTCAAACCAAGAACATCTAACGCGTACGAGATGGCACAATCAATAGTTTCTTCTGCCATCTTGGCTGCTTTTTAGTTTTCCAAGCTTTGGTTGCTGACTTGCTGTCCCCCCGGATAGCGTATAGCCAATAAACGAAAAATTTTAACCCTGGCGTAAACTTCCGGTACCGGATGTTGCATTGTCTGCCACCGGAACTGCCAGATGTTACAAGTCTCTCTTTCTTTCCTCCTCTCCCCCTCAGCGGTACGTCATGTAACGGACAATATAGTGGGTCTCCACAAAGAGAGACTTGGAGCAAGTCTAAGTCAACACAAACTTCCATGATATTCAATTCCCCGCTTTGTCCTTTGCAGTCTGTTTCCACTTTAGCAATCAGAATTTCCCAAAAAATTCATTTTATACAAAATTAACTGAATGAACAAGGACCGCTAAGTTCTGAGACGAAGGGGTTAGAGAGATTCTAGGGGGGGGGGGG